GCATCAGTGTGCGGGACGAAGTCGGCTGCGTTGAGTGCGTGCTTCTCTTGAGTACCCCAGTACGGCCCCGCAAGTCCTATGGCCAGCCTATTCGTGACCTTCTGCTTGAAGCCCGCCTTGCGCAACTTTGTAGAAGCCCCGACCTGCGCCGAGAGCAATGCGTTCGCGAGGGCCTGTCCTTGTTCTCCTGCTCCAACCGTCACCTGGTACTGGTTGCACGCGCGGAGCAAGAAGACCAGCTCCTCGGAAGTCCGGTTCAACCCTTTGATTGTTCCAGGGGGCACCGCCGTGTTCTCCGTGTGTGACTTCACCAAAGATGCGATCTCCGCCGTCTGCGACTGGATGGCCCTGGCAATCTCCTCGAACGGTGCAGGTCCCGGGTCGCCCGCCTCGGCTTTGCGATCGCCCACGCTGTAGATGCCCGGCTTGCCGATCCGCAGTGGTGCCGTCGGGGTCGTCTTCTCAGAGGTTGCCGAAGGTCCCGGTTTCTCCGGTGACGTCTCCACCACCTCCCAGGAAGGTGCCGAACTGTTGCGGGCCGTACTCGAAGGAGAGGACAACCTAGTGGATGGCCTCTGCCAGGCCCTGACAAACTTGGTGAGCCCCTTTTGCCCCTTCTCCTGCTCAGCAACCGCTTGGCTGACCAGGGCCTGAGTGATCTCCTTCATCGACATCCCACGTTCGGCCGCCAAAGCATTCCTGACCTCTTCCTCCGTCAGACCAATCTCACGGCCCTCCGCGTACTGGTTGAAGAACTCCTCCAACAAAGGAACAGGGTGGTCGCGCGCCGGTGAGTCCAGCAGGCCCAGCTTTGCGAGGTTCTTGTGGATGCTTGACCGCGGGGTACAGCCCGGGGATCGCTCCCGGCTTCGCTTCGGTGGCTCCTCGAAGGTCTCGGATTTCACCTCTGCCAGCAGCCGCTTAAGATCACGTGCATCTGGAAGATCGCCCCTGCCACGAGGTGGGAGTTCGGGTTCTTCCGGATCGTCTTGTTCACAAAGGGCGACCGCCGGCCTTGCTGGCGATCTCCTCCTTGAACTCGAACGCCGAGGGCCCGGTGCGGCGTGATGGCGGCAACGACGAACTCCGTCGCCTCCGTCTTCCACGAAGCCGACACGGTTGCATCCGCCTTGGTAGCACTTCTGAGTCCTGCGGCGACGTTCGTAGTCTAAGGCGTGCTGCGGGCACAGGTCCACGGCGCCACGCTCGTCCAGCTTGTCCTCGAAGAGCAGGTCGCACGCCGTAGTCCCGGTCGCCTTGCAGGGTTGGCTTGCCAAGTTGCAGTCGCCGTCCTTGTCCACCCAGGCCACACAATGGGCCCCGCAGCTCCGAGTTGGCTCTGTCTCCGACTCCGACCCGAACTCCTTCATGACCCTCACGGGCTTTGCAGAAGGGGACCAAAGCCACTTCCACAGAGTCCGGCCCGCCTTCTCCGCGCCAAGCTCGGCGTTCCGAAGGTGAAAGCGCTCACCGTCGAAGTCCCTGGCCAGTCCGTACTCCTTGAAGTGCTGGCCCTCCTCATGACACACCAAGTGCCGACACAGGTGCACCTTGTCGTAGCCCTTGCAAGCGTCTACAATCTCCTTGTCACCCCGCATGGAGTCGGCTTCCACCGGCACGTAGAGACCCGGAGATCGGATCGTCTGTGATTCGGTCCCTGCTCGAAAGACAGCCACATGGCCCTCCCTTTTCACAAGAATCCACTTCTCTGCGGCGCCCACCTTCTTGAAGGAGCGGAGGTCCGCGGTCTCGGGGATCCGGCCCGTGCCAGGACCTAAGAACTCAGCATCGGAGGCCTCGGGGACGCCGCCGGCCGCACGCTGGGCCCAGTAGATTAGGGTGCCCAACTTCCTCACGATCATCCGCACAAGCCAGATCACCCCTATCACGACCACTGAGAGGAGGGACACCACAGGCCAGCAAAGAGCCCACAAGTAATGGGCCCCCATACATAAAGCCAGCAGAGCGAAGATGCGGAAGGCACGCTGGCACCCGTTCTTCACGCCCGGCCACGAATTCCCGAAAAGCACCCATCCCACAAAGCTCACTGCCGTGTCCAGCGCCATGCAAAGGCCGCTGTCCCAGGACCAAGCTCGCTCCGGTGTGCCTGACGAGTCGGGCCAGGACGCCCATGCCAACCAAGCCTCGCTGGAGGGCACCGCTTCCTCAGCCCATGCGCGAAGCTGAGCCCATCTGGAGTCATCACGACCTCCTGGCTCAGCGGTTGTAGTGTTGGTGCTGTTTGCAGCCCTTAGCCACCACCCGCCGCCCTGCTGAGCAGCAGCAAGCACCGCCAAAATCCGTCCGGCATGTGGCATCGCCTACACACCTAGCCTGAAACCATAAAAGCTCTGGGTCGAAGCAAGCATTCGCGCCTACCCAAAAGCTAAAGTTATACCTAACTTGGCAGTACTTTTTTGGGGCTCCTTAATGTAGTCATCGTGAATATGGTTATAGCATATTAAAATTAAAATTATACAGAAATTATATCCCAAAGGCTTATTTGGAAACAGTAATGCGCTTACATTCGCACTCCCTATACCTTTTGGTTGACCCCCACCCCCCCACCCCCCCGCGGCCGCTCTCCCGCGATCTCGCGGCTAACCGTTTCCTTCCAGACAAACCAGCCACCACGCAGGGTTTCACGGCTCTCATAGTCCTCGCTATATCCATTTTGCTCGCACACGCTGTCTCTTTCTCTCCTTTTTGTTCGTCCGTTTCCCTCTCAGTCCCGCTCTCTCTGTTTGTCTACTTTTTCCGCATTCCTCCTGAGATGCGTACACACGCATATATACATACTACCCACACGCCTACACACGCCCACACACACACACACACGTATGTGTGTGCGCGCTTGTCTGAGCGTATATGTACCTGTACCTTAACATTCCAAACCACGGGCTTAACGGGGGCGTTCAAATAAACCACATGAGAAACTGAACCCACGAAAAAAGATAGGGTCTATGGTGATCGGAAGGGTTTAGGATATCTCCATAAATCACACCTCGAATCCAAGAGAACTTTGCCTCGATCAAAACGTGACAAGCAGCCCCAGCAGTGCCATACATGTATGCTTGTATATGTGTGTATACACACACACACACCCCTCGAAAAGCATGGTAACGCCATGTACTACATTTTCACTTTGTACCTTATCATACCTTACCTTGATGTATGCAGGTATAAGTATATGTCTGCCTTTGCATGGCTTTCGCTGCTGTATCCCCCCAAAACCCGAGTTAACCGCGTGGTTTCCGGTTTTGTATGTGCGGCGAAACCCTAAACCCTAAACCTCAAACCCTGAACCCCTAAACCCCTAAACCCCTGAACCCCTAAACCTCTAAACCCCTAAACCCCAAACCCTAAAATCCTAAACCCCTAAACCCTAACCCTAAACCCCTGAACTCTAAACCCTTCTAAACCCTAAACCCCTGAACCCCAAACCCCTAAACCCTAAACCATAAACTCCTAAACCCCTAAACCCCTAAACCCCTAAACCCCTAAACCCCTAAACCCCTAAACCCTAAGCTCCAAAGGTGCAGGTCGTGGTGAAAACGGTGAATCCCGCCAATCCTGCGGCCGGCCGGGCTCGGGACCCCGGTTTAGGATTTCGGGGTTTAGGGTTTACCTGGACCGTGACTCTCTACGGTTGGGCCCATGGGCCCCTAGTATGGGCCCTTAACCCTGGGACCCCTATACACCTACTATATGCCCTATATGTACTCTTAAGGGACCCCTAGAACCCCCTAAGGGCAAATATTAGGGCACATACTTCTAACCTTGGATACTCACTTACCCTAAGGGTGTGCATGTGCCCAAATAGTATATGCATTGGCCCTAAACTACCAATATAGGGACTACTTTCAGGCCAAAGTATATCTATTTGGTTACATGGACCATTAGGGTTACTTTTGTTTTTAAGGACTCATGTCAGGAAATTATAATAAGGAACCCTAAAAAGGTAGCTTTTTTAGGCTCCAGGTAGGGTTGAGGGTTTGCTAGGCTTTTGGGTTGGCGCTTAGTAACGTAAAGGGCTCGAAATGGATCGATAAGTGTTCTTAAAGGGTTTCTATATGAGTACGATAGGGGTACTTGGAGGTTCATTCGGCTGAGTCAGTACGGTTATAAGTACCCCAATTAAAGGTTATGACTACATGATTTTAAGTATAGCTATCTTTTTTACAGCCCTAGTTACTAAGTCCCACGAACCTCTTAAGCAGGGTTTCGGGTTGAAGGGCTTGGTTATGTCAAGAACATGCCCTAAACCCTAAACTTCAGCCCTTCGTTCAACGAGTCTATTTCTCTGAGGACGGCTCGTTCCTTCGGGTTATTTCTGGTGAAAGAGGACCCAAGTTCTGGTAAGTCCGAACTTTTGGAGTTTACGGTTTAGGGTTTAGGGTATATACAAGGAAAGAAACTGTCAGTTCCGTTTAATGCCATCTGTCCCACCTCCGACCCTCCCAGGTGCCGCAAACCATCAGCATGATCTGTCCTGCGGCCATGGATGTGGCCTTCTGCGTCCACACAGTGCAGGCACCCGGCCACTTTGGTGCGGTATTGCTGCGCTGAACTGGGCGTTTACTCTGCAGCCCTACCTGGACCCCATATAACCTGCCAGTTTAGGGTTTATATAACCCTAAACCCTAAACCCCTAAACCCTGAAACCCAAACCCCCATAACAAGGAGCTCACAAAAGGTAGGTTCTTCAGGGTTGAGGTATACAGCAGTTTGACAGTTAGACTCGGGATGTATATTGCGGATCTAAGCCCCAGGCCCATCCCTGATTGGACACATAATCCGGAACCCTTTCTTATCATGAGGACTAGGGCTATGACTCACGACGGCTTATGCTTTCTAGGCTCCGAGATAAGTCTATGGGATCGGCGTGCTTTTGTGGCTCTGAAATTAGGTTTCGGGATCCTGCTCTGAGCTGCGGCAGGGAGGTCTAGATACTAAAGACATACTGTAGGGGCCTTAACAATTACCTATAGTTGTTTTGGGGGTTCCTTGTTATGATTATAGTCTAATGGGCCCCCAAAACCCTAATTATTCTAACTACTAAGGCCCCTACATTACTCACCGCCTCTCAGAGTTAGCTTTATAAAAAAGGCGTTCAAGTTAGATAGTGGCGCTGTTCCTTAGGGTTCCTCGGCAAAGTTTTCGGATGGTATGTCCCTCAAGGCACTGTGTAGTTCTTGAGGTCCCTATATGAGGGGTTGAGAGTGTTAGGGTCGAGGTTGAATGGGTTTGGGGCTCACTGGGTTTAGGTTCATTGTCTAGGCTTTTTCGGGTTCCTTAAAAGGGTCCCATAACCCTAAACCCTCAATCCAAAACCCTATAATAATATTCAGGACCTATAGGGCGGGTCCTGAGTTTTCCGAAACTCCCGTACCCGTAAAGGATGTTCAGTACTTTAGGGTTTAGGGTCATTTGTAGTGTTGCTTTGCGAAAATCTTTGTCCCTCCCCCTAGCCCCCCTTCATGAGACCTTCGTTTTCACCCAATGCATTTGGTTGATGTCCTGCTTACTTCTTAGATTTGCGATGACAAAGTCCTGTAGAATTTCACATCGCACACGCAACACTCTACATCGAGTTTGAAGCTCGCAAACCCTTTCCCGGAAGCACCACATCCTAAAGCTTGGTTTAGAGGTTTGGGCTTCAGAACCCTAGAACCTCAGGCCCCGAATTAGGAATAGAAACCCTAAACCCTAAACCCTAAACCCTAAACCCAAAACCCTAAACCCTAAACCCTAAACCCTAAACCCTAAACCCTAAACCCTAAACCCTAAACACTAATAGAACTCCTCGCAGGCTTTGTACGGCGCAGGGAGCTGAGACAGCGTCTGCAGAATGGGGCCATGACATGACAGCAAGAGTCCGCAAGTAGTTGCTTTAGAGGGTTTAGGGTTTATAGGGTTTAGGGTTTAGGGTTTAGGGTTTAGGGTTTAGAGTTTAGGAGGGACAATCGGGCAAACTCTGGATTTCGTGAACTGCAAAGGTCAAGAAATGAGTTCGTGCGCGAGCGCGAGGCGGCTCCTTTCGGCATTGATGGTACCCGCGGTTTAGGGTTTAGGGTTTAGGGTTTAGGGTATAACTTCAGCTTAGGCAGCAGGGACGGTGGAGCGACATCCAGCTTTGAATTCTACTTTCGGCGAATCTACCTGCCCTATCCCCTTCCCCGGCCGAGTGATACATAGTAGTATAATAAGATCACTGGATATCCTAAACCCTGTCCCCCACGCACTCTGAGCACTGACACTATGACGCTTTCTGACGTTATTGAACTGAAAGACCCATATCCTCATCCATAAACACTAAGTCACTCTGTCCTATCCCTGAACGCCGGTCTAAATGAGCAAACCTCGAGACCCCACAGCTTGTTGCTAGGCTTCGTTCCGCCTATATACAGGCCCGAGCAACGAAGAAATCGAAGCCCGAGCAGATCCAAATGGCCTGAAGTAAAGTAAACATCAGCTGCTCATAATGATATGACAAGTTAGATCAGAGTGGCTTCCAACTCTTGAGCCTATGCCCTATCCTCTAACCCCTGAACCCCAACCCTAAACCTAAACCCTATAACCCAAAAACCCTAAACCCCTAAACCCTGAACCCTAAGCCTCAATCTCTAAACCCCAACGCAGAAATTTCCCCAGTTCACAGGAAAGGCCCTGAATGCCCCGAGGTTTATGTGCGAACACTGATGCTACATCGCCCTGAGGGTCCATGTACGTGCATGCACGTATTATATATATATATATATATGTACGTATGTACGTATGTACATATGTACGTATGTACGTATGTACGTATGTATGTATGTATGTATGTATGTTTTATATGTATGTATGTATATATGTAATATGTGATTTGGCATCGATGAGCTTCCAACAAAGGTACTCTAGGGGCCACGTATTCACTGCGTGGGCACATGGACCCGGAGGGTGAGGCTATCAGAGCCACTTCATCGATTTACAAAACGCGTGTCACCAGGGAGGCTCCATCGGCAGCGTGTCTATAACTTTGGGATTGAGCTCAGGACTTACCTGCGACCCCTAATCCTACAACATGGCGAGTTATGACCCCTTAATTCGAGCGTAGAACGCTTAGGTTTATGGATTCCCGGGTATAACCTATTCCCTATTCCGGGGTTAGATAGAACCCTTAAAACGGTAGGTTAGGTAGAACCCTTAAAACGGTAGGTTAGGTAGAACCCTCAAAACGGTAGGTTTATGGATCCCCAGGTAAGGGCCTAGAGGGCTAAAACGTGCAGGGCCTGGCGTTGGGTCTCAACTCGGGCTCAATATTGGGTACTTGGTT